CAGTTTGGAGATTTCTCAAAGAACTTCAAACAGAGCTGCCATTTGACCCAGCAGTCCCATTACTGGGTACATCTCAAAAAGAAAAGAAATTGTTTTAACAAAAAGACACATATACTCATATGTTTCATCACAGCACTATTCACACTAACAAAAATACGGAATCAACGTAGGTGCCCATCAACAGTGGATTGCATAAATAAAATGTGGTACATATATGCCATGGAATACTATGCAGCCATGAAAAAGGAATGAAATCATGTCCTTTGCAGCAACATGGATGCAGCTGGAGGATAATATCCTAAGTGAACTAATGTAGGAACAGAAAATCTAATGCTGAATATTCTCACTTACAAGTGGGAATTAAACATCAGTTACTATGGATGTAAATATGACAACAGTAGACACTGAAGACTGCTGTACTGATGAGGGAGGAAGGAGGTAGGTGTTGAAAAACTAACTGTTGGGTATTGTACTCAGCACCTGGGCAGTGGAATAATTCATACCGCAAACCTCAGCATCATGCAACATACGCAGGTAACAAACTTGCACATGTACTCCCTGAATCTTAAATAAAAGTTAAAAAAAAAACCATATCTTGGGTAGAGCAGGTAGAGAAATTTGGGGGAAAGCTTGCACATTTAGGCTACATCTACCAGATTGACATTTAGGAAAATAAATTTGAATTCTGTGGGAAAACTTAGGTGGAAGGTTTTTTAATAGGCAGAATATAATTAGGTCTTGATGTTGTAAAATTCAGTCTATCTCTGCCTTTTAATTGATGTGCTTAGATCATTTACATTCATTATTATTAACAGCTATGTTATCAGAGTTTGTCTTCAAGTGATAGTAGATATACCATTTCATACAAGAACCTTATAATAGTGTTCTTAACATTTCTCCACTCCTGGCCTTTATACTACTGTTGGTTTATGTTTTACTTATATTTATGTTGTTAAATACAAGCTCCATAATGTTTTATATTATTTTTGTTTAAATAGTCAATTATCTTTTAAAGACATTTAAATAATAAGATGTTGTTATTTTTGGTGCTCTTTGTTCCCTTGAATCCATATTTTGTTCTTAGTCTGTTTTCTGTTGCTATAACAGAAATGACACAGATTATGTATTTATAAAGAATAGAAGTTTATTGGGCTCACAGTTCTGGAGGCTGGGAAGTCCAAAAGCATGGCACTGGCATCTAGTGAGGGTCATGCTGTGGCAGGAAGCATCACGTGATGAGCAGGGTAAGAGTAGGTGAGAGTGCTTGAGACAGAGAGAAATGGGCTGAACTTACGCTTTTATCAGGAACCCACCACTGTGATATGAGGTTGGATCCCTTGTAACCTAATCACCTCTTAAAGGTCTTACCCCTTAATACCATCACAATTGCAGTTAAATTCCAACGTGAGACTTGGAGGGGATATTTAAATGATAGCATTTGCTGGTGATAAATACCTTCAGTTTTTGCATATCAGAAAAAGTATTTGTTTCACTCTCATTTTTGAAAGTTTTTTAAAAATTTTTTTGCTTTTTATTTTTATTTTTTATTTCCATAGGTTTTGGGGGGAACAGGTTGTGTTTGGTTACATGAATATGTTCCTTAGTGGTGATTTCTGAGATTTTGGTGCACCCATCACCTCAACAGTATATACTCTACTCAGCTCGTAGTGTTTTACCCCTTACCCCTCTCCCACCCTTCCCTCCGAGTCCCTAAAGTCCACTGCTGTCATTCTTATGCCTTTGGATCCTCAAAGCTTAGCTCCCACTTCGGACTGAAAACATACAAAGCTTGGTTATATTACTTCACTTAGAATAATGGTCTCTGGTTCTTTCCAGGTCACTGCAAATGCCATTATTTTGTTCCTTTTTGTGGATGAGTCGTAGTCCATGGTGTATATATACATATCCCACAATTTCTTTATCCCCTCATTGATTGATGGGCATTGGGCTGGTTCCATATTTTTGCAGTAGCAAATTGTGCTGCCATAAATATGCATGTGCAAGTATCTTTTTGAAAGACATTTTTAATGAGTGTAGAATTCTAAGTTAACAGTTTTTTCTTTTAGTACTTTAAAGTTTTTGCTCCATTATCTGCTCACTTGCATTGTTTCCAACAAGAAATCTGATGTCATACTTATTTTTCGTTTGTTATATTTAATGTTCCTTTTTTCTCTGAGTGCTTTAAAATTTTTCTGTTGGTCACAAGTTTGAGTGCTTTCATTATAGTGTTCTAGGAGTCATTTTCTTCATATTTCTTACACTTGGAGTTCATTAAGCTTCTTGGTTCTGTAGGTTTTAGTTTGATCAATTTTGGAATTTTTTTCAGCTGTCATTGCTTCACTTTTTTTTTCTTTCTCCTCTCAGACATCGATTACATGTATATTAAGTTTCTTAAAGTTGTCACAGCTCACTGGTGTGCCGTTCGTTTTTTAGCAGTTCTTCTATTTCATTTATATAGTTTATTTTGTAGTTTAAATTTTAGTAATTTTTTCTTCTAAAATGTCTAATTTGCCATCAGTTTCATGCTGTGTATTGTTTTATCTCAAACATTATAGTTTTCATCTCTAGATATTATCTAGAGGTGATAGGTTTTATCTTTCATATTCTACTTAGCTTTTCAAACAGATGGAATATTATTGTAATAACTGTTCAATTCTAACTTCAGTGTCAACTCTGGGTCATTTCAGTTGATTTATTTTTCTTCAGATTTCTACTACCTTTCTGTTTTGCTTCTTTTCATGCCTGCTAATTTTTGAATCAATGTCAGACATTGTAAATTTTACCTTCTCAGGTGTTCCTATAAACACCCTTGAGTGGCTGGGCGCAGTGGCTCATGCCTGTAATCCCAGCACTTTGGGAGGCTGAGGCAGGTGGATCACAAGGTCAGGAGTTCGAGATCAGCCTAGCCAACATAGTGAAACCCCGTCTTTACTAAAAATAACAAAAATTAGCCGGGTGTGCTGGCACACGCTGGTAGTCTCAACTGCTTGGGAGGCTGAGGTGGGAGAATTGCTTGAACCTAGGAGGTGGAGGTTACAGTGAGCCGAGACCACGCCATTGCACTGCCGCCTGGGTGACACAGTGAGACTCTGTCTCTAAATAAATAAATAAATATCCTTGAGCTTTGTTCTGGGACCACGGGGAAATTAGTTCAAAACAATCTGGTCATTTGGGGTCTTGAATCAAGATTTCTTAGGACCAGAGCAGTGTCTAGTGTAGAGCTATTTATTCCTCCACTTAACTAAGACAAGACCTTTCTGGACTACCCAGTGTCCTCTGAATTGTGAGGTTTTCCAGCCTGGCTGGTAGGAAATAGGCACATTTTCTAGCCCTGTTGAGCATCAGAAGCTGTTTGCTTCTATTCTTTTGGGTGATCCTTTCCTGCATCTTGGCTAGTTCCTCACATGCACCAGTTTCTACCCTGCTAAATGCTTGAGGGCAACCCTTTGCAATCTCTGGTGTTTTTTTCTATGCAGCTCTCTCATATTTTTTTCCTGTGAATTCAGGCTGCCTTAGATTCTTTCACTTGGTTCCTTCAAACATTGCTTCAAGTCTTCACACCATCTTGGTTAATCTTCACTGAATGATAACCAACTTGTCAATTTGCTTCATGTGACATCTTCAGAATTGAGTGTATTATTTAATTGACGATCTCTCTGGCATCCTGAGATCCAAATGTTAAATGACTTATGGAAAATGTTTTGAAAGTCAGCTGGAAAAGTTCAGCTGGTGAAAGTTACAAAAAATCTTTAATTTATCTAGTTTTCATAATTCAGAAAAGACAGTATAGTAGAGAGGATTTTTAAAAAGTAGCAAAATATGTATTAGTGACCCATTGATCTAGTAACTTAGTCCTCTGGTGAACTTAAAACTGTTTTCTTTATATTTAATGTCTGTAAAATTTACTGCATAGTGATAGATAAAATGCAAGAAACTCAGTCTTAAATCTTTGGATAATAGCATTTGTCATTCTGACTTGATGCTTTTACTAACATTTATTAACAATACTTTGAAAGTAATTTTTGGTAGCCCTCTTACTGTTTGTTAAAATTCATGTAACAGTTTTCATTTTCTAGTGGTTTGTAAATTAGGCAGAACTCTAATATAAAGAATATTGTGATTTAATAAAGCCATTGTTAGATTACTTTCACATATTGAAAGTATGTTAATTTAGGGAGGAAAGCTGTTAAGCTAAAAGTGTGTCATCTATCATAAAAACTAAGAAATTCAGCCTACATATATAAGAAGAAAAGTTTCGACAGATATTAACAGTGTAGCCTGCTGTAGCCTGGCTGTGAAACAGATTGGTGCTCCACCTTAATTTGTGTGAAATCAGAGATGACCAGTCCTAAAGTCTGGAGCCTTACAAAGTAATTGATTACCTGTATAAAACTTAAAGCACTATTTTTTTACCCCAATGTTTCAAAGAAATTACTCTTTATCTACTTATTTCTGTTATACTTAGATATGAGCTAGTGATTTGCTACTTGATAAGTTCTTTCAGCATTACAGAAACAAAATTTTACTAGTCCAATCTTGAGATAACAAAAAATGGGTGAAATTGAGCAGAAGCAGAGCATCAACTTCTGAATTTTGGTTTATTTTAAATGATACTAAGCTTTTAAAAGTTCACAGTGTTGTTTTAAGTTTTTAAAAAATTAATCATAGAGACAAGGTCTCAATATGTTGCCCACATTGGGGTGCAGGGGTATTCACAGGCATAATCATGGTGCAGGACAGCCTGGAACGCCTGTGTTCAAGCATTCTTCCTTTTTCAACCTTCCGAGTTGCCTGGTATACAGGGAGGTACCCTGGTGCCTGGCTTCATTTTAGAAGTATAAAATGTCAAAGATTATAGGGGGAAAAAATCAATGTTCTAAGATACCAAAAATATTTTGATAAAGAAGGACAGTTCATTTGATTTTTTTTCCTTAAAAGGTCAATAATTTATTATTATCTATATATAATGTGTACTTTTTTCTCCTCTCTGATTTTTGTAGGTTCTGCCGGAGACTTCCATTTGGCCTCAATGTGAAATTAAAGTAGAAAATCCCATCTACATGTGTGTTGCTATCAGGATGTTGATTGACTGGTCATGCCTGAAGAGGGAAAGTCTGTTTTAGGTGGCTGACTACCAGCCAAAATAAATGCTTCTCCTACATGTCAAGCATCTCTCCTTTCTACTGGAGTGAAAATCCCCTCCAGATACCAACAGAATATCAACTGCAGAAAATGCTTCACATTTTAAGGATGTCGGCAACCTAAATTCATGTACCCTATCTGTACAGTTGTTGTGGATGGTTTGTCATCTGAAAGCTCCTCAAGTTCTTATCCAGGCCCTGTGTCTGTTTCTGAAATGTCTCTGCTTCATGCTTTGGGTCCAGTGCAGACCTGGCTGGGACAAGAGCTCGAGAAATGTGGCATTGATGCCATGATTTACACTCGGTATGTCCTCAGTCTTCTGCTGCATGACAGCTATGACTACGACCTGCAGGAACAGGTATTTACAGATTTTCAGTGTTTTGCGAAAACCGATGATATCTGTATACATTCCTCTTAAACGAGCGCTTTCATACTTTAGAACTGGGCTATTCATGTGTTGTGTGCAAACTTCTCACCTGTCGGTGACAAGATGGTAAGATTGCCTTGGAATGTAAATCAACCTGCGTCACTAAGCACGCTGTTTAGTGCAGTTATTTTTTTCATAGTTAGACTTTCTCAGTGTTGATGACATTTTGGCCTAGACTCCAGATCTTGTCATGGGATGGTAATAGTTTGATGACCTGCTACTTTTGATTAGCAGTGCTCTACAATGTTGATTTCTACTATTTAGAAAACTCACACATTTTCAGTAGATATTTAAACATTGTGTCTATTATACTTACCATTTCAAATTTAATATTTTATCAGTGAGAATGATGCTTAACTGCTTTGTTAGTGTGTATGACAAACCAGTAGACTTAAAGTTCAATAAAACATACAATTTTGCCATAAGTCACTGTGTGTCACCATGTAAGTCAGTCATTACACATTTTATTTGACTTTGGTGCTGAGTTTATAGTGAGAAATTTGCCTGGGCATGGCGGTTCACACCTGTAATCCCAACACTATGGGAGGCCGAGGCAGGAGGATGTCTTTAAGCCAGGAGTTTGAGACTAGCCTTGGCAACATAGAACCCAGTCTTTACAAAAAGTACCAAAAAATTAGCCAGGTGTGGCATGCGCCTATAGTCCCTAGCTATTCAGGAGGCTGAGGTGGGAGCATCACTTGAGCCCAGGAAGTCAAGGCTTCAGTGAGCCATGATTGCGCCACTGCCCTCCAGCCTTGACAACAGAGCAAGACCCTGTCTCTCTCTCACATGCGCACACACACACACACACACACACACACACACAGAGAGAGAGAGAGAGAGAGAAAGAGAGAGAGAGAGAGAGAGAGAGAGAAACTAACCAAATATAGGTTCTTGAAAAAAAATCTTAACCTCAGTCTCATTCTTAAGAGGAGCTACTGAAAGTGAGGCCTATGTGAGGGAAGCACAGTCATCAGTCGTGAATAAATGGGCTCTGGGTGACTTCTATTTACAAATTTCACATAAAACCTTTTGGTTTTTATAGACAGTAAAGAGAAGGAGGTGTTTTGTGGGCAGTTTTTGTTGCTGTTTTAAACCATTGTTGCTCACACTGAAAGCAGGAACAGAGTTTCATTGACAGAAGAAATTGGTTTTGCCCCTCCAAACCACACAAAAAAACCTCAAAGTCCTAGAAATAATACATACAGAGGATTTCACCAGGTTGATTAATTTTTGTTTGTTTGTTTGTTTGTTTTGAGACAGGGTCACTCTGTCACCCAGGCTGGAGTGCAGTAATGTGATAATAGCTCACTGACAGCCTTGGACTCCTGGGCTCAAGCAGTCCTCCCACCTCAGCCTCCCAAAGTGCCGGCATTACAGATGCGAGCTACTCTTTCCAGCCAGCTTAATGTTTTTTATACCTCAGTTATACAGAGCATGTTTGATGAGAGGGGTTTCTCATGTCTAGATCGACACAGCTGCATTTTTCTTGCTTTCAGGTTGCTTGCTGCCTTCCTTGGCTGGCATTAGGTCAGGTAAGGTTTTGAAGGGATTTACTTATACCCTAATAATCAGCAAATATATAGTTTCCTTACCAAAGCTCTGTTATTTGCTATCATCCTTCTGGTAAATGTCAAATATACTCCTTTACAGGCAAGTAAGATGTTAAATATACAAACATGGAAGCGCTTTCACTTCCAGAAATGAGGAAAATATTTCTTATCATTCAAAAATTATGTACTTCATTGTGAGCATGTACTCATAGGAAACTTTTTTTTTTTTTTTTTGGTGACAGGGTCTTGCTTTGTTGCCCATGCTAGAGTACAGTGGCATGATTATAATTCACTGCAGTCTTGATCTCCTGGGTTCAAGCAGTCTTCCTGCATCTGCCCCCTGGCACCCAGCTAATTAAAAAATATATATACATGTCTCTGTTGACTAGGCTGGAATGAATAGTTTTTAGTAGGACTTTAACTTCCCACTTCTTCTCTCTTTATTTTTTTGAGAACAGGGTCTTGCTGTATTGCCCAGGCAGGTCTTGAACTCCTGGGCTCAAGTTATCCTCCCGCCTCTGTCTCCCTAAGAGCTGGGATTACAGGCATGAGCCACAGCGCCCGGCTTAACCTCCCATTTCTTAGAGTTGTATGTCAGCAGTATGAGCCTAGAATTTGTAATCAACACAAATAAATTTACTCGCACAAAGTATGTGCTAGGTGCTATAGGACATATAGGATACAACAGGCCAGATGTTAATAAGATTATAATCAGTCACATGTCTGATCAGACTTGTGAATCCTCTGGTTTCTTTACTAGCTCTAGGGGGTTGTGGTCAGAGGTAAGATGAACTATCAGTATCTGCAGCTGTGCTTGATCCTCCCTCCAGAGTTCTGATTCGTTCCTCAGGACACAGGACAGATAAAAGCTAGGGAAAGCGTAACATGTCTGGAGTTACAAGGAGAATCCATAGGAAAATAAAAGGCCCTAAAATACTTTTCTACTTGGTCCAAAGTAACAGCAGAGTGTGCCAAGTCCCATGCTGATGAAGAAGGTCAAATTAAAAATGATACCTGTTTTAATAAGACATGATTTGAGGATCCTTTATCCCCTAAGTTACTTTTCCCTGAAGGTATAGTCCCTCATTAAAGGTGGCAAAGCCAGATGCCTGATTCAAGGGGAAGATGTGCTTACTGTCTCCCCAGGCAGAGAGGATACAGAGCCAAGGATAGTTCTCTTCTAGCAAGAGTAAGGAGAATGGAAGGGGCCTTAGCTTCTGTCATTGAGAACTCCAGCTAACAGCAAGGCTGACACACCTGGGTGGAGATGTATGCCACCTTTCCTGATCTCTGGCTCATGCCTGTGGTAACACAGCCCCTCAGGTGGAGGCCAAACCACTCCACTGCTGGGTGTTCATTTCCTCATATCTTTGCTCACCCCTTAGTCCTTGAATTAAGTCAAGCCCTGAACGGCCAGTTTTAAGACCCATCATCTTTTCTGGTTTTGGCTAAAACAAGCACACAGTGCTCTTGAGTCTGAAACAGATTTTATCCATCAGTTTGGTCACAGCTATGCAAGATGTTAAGGTAGGAAGTAAAGCTGATCAGATCCTAGTCTTGTTTGAAGATGAATCAACTATAAACCTCTAATTTGGACAGGATTATAAATACAGTTAGGGTGGTAGGCTGGTGTAGTTCCAGAGAACAACTGCCTTCTAATATGGAGATATCATCACTGTGCCAAGTAGTTTTAGTTTTATTTCCACAAATATTTCTTTCTTTCCCTCCTCCCTCCCTACCTCTCCCCCGTCTCTCTTTCTCTCTCTCTCTCTCTGTCTTGTCTTGTCTTTCTCTCTCTCTCTCTCTTTCTTTCTCTCTCTCTTTCTTTCTCTTTCTTTCTCTTTCTTTCTTTCTTTCTTTCTTTCTTTCTCTCTCTCTCTCTCTCTCTCTCTCTTTCTTTCTTTCTTTCTTTCTTTGTCATGATCACTCTGGGAAGTATATTCTCAGATAATCAGGAAATTCTGTATCACTTTTATATGATATAAACTGCTTTTCTTCCCCATCTTTCAAAGCTCAGATCATCTCTGTCTCTGAAACTTTGATAATGCCTAACGAAAGAAATGTCTTCTTCCAAACTTGATAATATTTTACTGTAAAGCTTTTCATTTTATTTACTGGAATGTATTCTGTTTCTCATTAGATTATAACATCCTTATGGGCAGAAATCGTATATTAATGTTTCTTAAAATTTTTAACCAGCCTGGGCATCATAGTGAGACCCCATCTTAAAAAAAATTAGCTGGATGTTGTGAGGTTTACCTGTAGTCCCAGCAACTTGGGAGGCTGAGGTGGGAGGATCACTTTAGCCTGGGAGGTGGTGGTTGCAGTGAGCAGTGGTCATTTGCTGCACTCCAGCCTGGGCAACAGAATGAGACCCTGTCTCTTAAAAAGTAAATAAATTTAACCTTTTTAAAAATAATTTCAGACCTCAGAAGAACAGCTTGGATAGTACAGAGAACTTATGCTCTCTTCAGTCCCCAGTTCGCATTTTCACACATTTGCTTTCTTTTTATTCATATACAATAGTTTTACGTATTTGTGGGGTATTGTGATATTTTGATACATGTATATAAGATGTTATGATCAGATCAGGGTATTTGAGTTATCTCTCCTTAAACATTTATCTTTTCTTTGTGTTGGAAATACTCGAATTGTTTTCTAGCTGTTTTGAAATATACAGTAAATCTTGTTAGCTGTAGAACCCCTACCACACTGTTGAATATTAGAGCTGACTTCTGTTGAACTGTACGTTTGTACACCTTAAGCCATTTCTCTTCATCTTCCACTTTTGCTTTATTTCTGTCTTCTCTTCATGCCGACTTCTCTGAGTAAATTAGCATGTACTTGTTAAGATCAAAGACTTTCCCTTAGTCATATTACAATCACAAAATTCAGGAAAATTAGCATTGATAAAACTTTGTTGTCAGATATACCGTCAGTATTCAGTTTTCACTTGTCCCAATGTTGTTTCTCATTGCAGTTTTTTCCCCCTCATCTAGTATCTAGTTTGAGATTATCCATTGACTTTACTGGTCACATCTCCTTAATCTCCTTTTATCTGGAGTCATTCCTTGTTTTTCCTTTGCGTCTCATGACATTGACAATTTTGGAGAGTCCAGGCCAGTTTTGCAAAACATCCCTTAATTTGTTTTTTCCAAATACTTCCTTGTGTTAGAGTTGGCTTGTGCGTTGATGGTAGTAGCATTCTCTTATTCTTGGAGATGCAGACTTGGTTCAGATGGTGTCTGCCAGGTTTCTCCTTGTAACTAATAAGCCATCTGTGCAGGGAGACTTTGACGCTTTTACCATCCATTCATGTTCCTTGCCCGAATCAGTTATTAGTTGGGTAGTTGAAAAATGGTGATTTTTCTACCTCAG